AAGCAGACAGAGTCAAAAATATAGTTTAGATGGAGCTGGGCAGGAGGCAGGGACTGAGCCAAAACCCAGCCTCTGTGATGATCTCCCCAAGATGCTAAAGGAGATAAGAGGCACTTGGGGATCCTGACTCTATGGGGAAAGTTAACCAGGACTTCGGACACTTTCCTGGTGGCTCAGGTGGTAAAGCATCCACCTTCAGTGTGGGAGACCTGGGTTCAATCCCTGGTTTGGGAAAATCCTCTGGAGAAGGAAATCAGTTTCTTTTCCAGTACTCTTGCCTGGAAAATCCCATGGACGGAAGAGGCTGGTAGGCTATAGTCCATGAGGTTGCAAAGAGTCGGACAGGACTGAGCAACTTCACTTTCACTTTCTGAAGAGTTAAAGGTGGGCACTTTGCAAACCTAACCAGAAGATGCTGGCTTTTGTGGGTTCTGGTCCCAGCTGTGTGAGCTTGGGTAAGTGACTTTGCCTCTCTGAGACTCAGTTTTCTCACCTTTAAACAGGTTGGAACTGTGACAGAGGGCCCCATACTTGCGCCCCCCCGCCCCCGGAAAGCTCAGCTGTGTGTTCAGTCTGGGACGTGTCAACCTGGGGGCTCCATGCTGGGCTGAGGGGCTTCTGGAGTAGCAGCCTTCTCATCCTGCCCAGCGGGGCTGGCCTGCTCAGACTCAGCAGGTGAAATCAGACGCCCACAGGGTGCTTCCAGGAGCTTCTCAAAGTCTCCCCACCCTTTGACCTCACATTGCCACTGTAAGCATTGCCCCAGGGTAATGACCCGAAGTAATTTCCTCCCAGAATAATGGTGAGAAATTAGAAACAGCAGGTGTTGAGCACCAGGAGACGGTGACGCACGTATGAAATGGCCTCTGGATAGAATCCTGTGTGGGTATTAAACCTGGTGTTTGCACGGAATTCCTCATCTGAAGGGGAAACCCTTCTGATAAGATGTTAGGTCTGAGGGCTGGAACCCAGCGACCTCTACAGAGGTAATGAAGGACTTGGACTCGGAGGTCCCACTGACTTCAAGTTTACTCCCTTCTCTGCCTTTCTCTTAGTATGCGTGGCTTGGGTTTTTCAACCTCTCCAAGCTCCAGCTTGTCCAGACACTGCCTGCCTCCAAAGGCTGCAGTGGTGAAGGAATGATGTGGGAAACTTGCTGCTGCTTGCTGCCTAGTCGCTCAGTCGTGTCCGACTCTGTGCGACCCCATGGACTGCAGCCCACCAGGTTCCTCTGTCCATGGGCTTCTCCAGGCAAGAGTACTGGAGTGGGCTGCCATGCCCTCCTCCAGGGAATCTTCCCGACCCAGGGATCGAACCCTGGTCTCCTGCAGGCAGAGTCTATACCATCTGAGCCACCAGGGAAGCCCTTTCTTTTCACTGAACCCAAATAACTTTAACTTGCTTCACAACTTTTTTTGGTGGTGGCATCCCAGGCTTGGCCTGACGCCATGGACCCACATGAAGCCTAACGAGAGGATGTGAGTGATTCAGGGTGCCCACCTGCACACCCCCCTCGAGATCCAAGGCCCTGGGTCTCTCTGGGAGAGAGCCAGCACCCCCTCCCACAGAGGAGATGGGTCCCAGGAAGGAAATGAGTCATACATCCTGGGCACCTTTGTTTTCTCCTCTGAAGCGTGGAGGGGCGGCGGGTGAGGGAATTGGGGGGGTGGAAGCAGCCCTCTTGATGGGTGCCTGCCTGCCGCTCGCCTGGATGACTAACCATCCCGAAGCACCCCCAGGCCCTCTGGTCATAACAGGTGGGCGGCAGGAGCTGCCAGACCAGCCCCCTGACTCATGGAACAATGGTTCCTCTCCACAAACCTCTTCTACGCAGGCCAGCTAGCTCTGCCTGAAGACAGAAATTCCTTTCCACAAGCACATTCCCAGCATGGGGAATACTACCCGCTGGCACCCCGTCCCCACCCCCCAGCAGAATGTCCCTGGCTTGGGAGACCCCTTCCTCAGACACCAGGTGCCACTGTGTCCTTCGACGGCTGTGTGCCCACTGCCACTGGAGAAAGGTGGGAAATTGCATCACGCCCAGGGTCTTGCCCACACGCTGTGGGGACCATAGCAGCAGAGGGGACGATGGGAACTTAGGGCGCGTGGCAGACGGCGGTTGGCGGGGTGGGGGGGCAATCTGTCGAAGAACCTGAGGGAGCTGCCTCCCCTGCCCTTCTCCCAGACACAGAAGAGCCGGGCGGGCTGGAGGGTCTCCTCAGGAAGCAGCGGTCTTCTGTCCGTTGTGCTCGGGCACAGGGCGCTGGGAGCCGCCTCCTAAGCTACAGGACCTAGAAGACTGCACGGTGGACTTGACCCTGGTTGGCTCCTGAGCCTGAAAGCCCCCTCCCCAGCCCTCCCCTGCTCCACCCCAGTATCCTGACCCCAGCCTGACGGGGCGGAGACAACTCCTCCTGGGTCTCTGTGGGGCTGTCTGGGGGTTCACCCTGACATCCTGAGGAGCCCTGGGGTCTCAGGGACCCTGGGGGAAGAGAGGTGGGCAGACACGTGGAGTGGGGCATGGGCTGTCCCTACCCAGCCCCCACCCCACCCCCACCCGTCAAATGGTCCCGTCATGCATTTCTTCTACCCATCAAGTAGGATTTCAACGGGAGAGATGATGGGAAGGGAACTCCAGATGGGGGGCAGGCCCAGGCAGAGGTGCAGGGGTCAGACAGGGCAAGCTGTGTTCCAGGTAAAGTGAGGAGACCAGCCTGACCAGAACAGAGGATTCCGGAGTGGGGACTCGGTGATGGGAAAGGAGGTTCAGGCCGAGCGGAGGAGAGGAAAGGCTTTATCTCTGCATCTGAGCTGCTCCTGCCACCTCCTCCCCCCTGCCCTCAGGGGCCCTGCCCCTGCTACCTGCCCCTTCGGGCGGCAGGACTGGTGTTTGTGGAACTTCTTAATATCCTCTCCTGGGCACACAGCAGCATTTCACTGGCTCCCCAGCGGGGTTGACTGCGTGATAAGAAGTCCAGAAGTTCAACACACTTGGAGTGCTTGGACATCACTGTGGTCCGTGCCAGAATAAACAGGGCCTGGCAAAGGGCCGCAAGGTCCTACCCCAGGGCAGACACTGCCCTCTGCCAAATAGGGGGTTGTTTTTGCAGAGGCAGTGTCTGTGCTTGGTGGGTGGGAGGGAAGTTCCACCAAGACCCTGGTCCATTCACCCCCGCCAGGTGCTGACATCTGTTCTGACCAACCCTGTACCGGGTCGACTTGGTGAGGGGGCGGGGAGGGAGCTTCTCATGGCCATGAGTGAAAGACGCAAAATTTACTGCAAAAAAAACGAAGAAGAAGAATGAGTAATCTTCCTGCAGCCTCCCAGTGCTGCCAACACTTAAAGATCATTCCACTTGATCTTAAAGGGCTCTGGTGGGGAGGGCGGGGGATGGGAAAACTGAGGAGCAGGTGCATAAGGAAGGTGCAAGATAGCGTGAAAGCAAAGGAGGTCCAGACTTCAGCATTATGCCAGGCTGGATTGACAGTGAGGCTCTACCCGTGCCCCAGGCCAGTCCTCTGGGCTCTAGAAGCCTCCATCTCCTCATAGAAAAAAGGAAGATTGCAGTCCCCACCCTCAAGGGGCAGGAGATTGCTTTAAGATAGGAGCCTTGAGCATACACTATGGAAAACATCATGGAGGTTCTTCAAAAAACTCAAAAAAGGGTTGCCATATGACCCAGCAATCCCACTCCTGGGCAGATATCTGGATAAAACTGTAATTTGAAAAGATAAATGCACCCCTATATTCACAGAAGCACTATGCATGATAGCCAAGACGTGAAAACAACCCAAAAGTCCATCAATAAATGAATGGATAAAGGGGATGAGGTACATATATACAATGGAATATCGCTCAGTCATAAAGAGTGAAATAATGCCATTTACAACAACGGATGGACCTAGAGATTATCATACTAAGTGAAGGAAGATGACCATGTGAACCAGCTCAGTCGTGACCGACTCTTTGCGACCCCATGGACTGTAAACTACCAGGCTCCTCTGTCCATGGGATTTTACAGGCAAGAATACTGGAGTGGGTTGCCATTTCCTTCTCCAGGGGATCTTCCCAACCCAGGGATGGAAAGGTTTGGAAGATCCCGTGGAGAAGGGAAAGGCTACCCACTCCAGTATTCTGGCCTGGAGAATTCCATGGACTGTACAGAGTGACTGAACAAGTGAAGTAAGATAGAGAAAGAGAAATATAGTATCACTTACATATGGAATCTAAACCATGACACAAATGACCGTATCTATGAAACAGACTCACAGACACAGAGAACAGTCATGTGGCTGCCGAGGGGGAGGACAGGATTGGGAGTCTGGGATTAGCAGATGCTAACTATCATATAAACGAAGAGGCCCTATGCCGTATATAGCGCAAGAAACTATATTCAATATCCTGTAATAAGCCATACGGGAAAAGATTATGGAAAAAGAACTTAAAAAAAGAGAGATAAGAGCCTTGAAGGGCCTCTGCCTTACCCTGACCTGTATGGACTCTCAGTAAAGCAGGTTCCTGTCTTAGGTCTAGGCTTCACACCAGTTGGGGACACAGCGGCCCTCCAGCACCCCACAGGTGGGCCAGGCAAACAGAAGATTCCCTTCACGGCTGCTGAAAAACACGGCTTGCGAGAAACACATTTGCCTGTGACCACACACTCTGCTGTGCGATGTCCACACGCGTGTGAGCTGCTCAGGCATGCAGGCCTCGTTCCAGCTGCTGCGTCATCCATCCAAGGCAGCTCCTTTGTAAACGGCAATAAAGCCATTTAATGTGAATGATGAAATCTATGCCCTACAGTGCTCGTTATTAATGGGAAACAAATGTATTTCAGGTAACAAAATAGTGAGCAATGTGGGCAATAAATACATCAGGCAAACCTGGCCGGTGGAGGGACTGACGGGACGCGGTGTTCTCTGCCCCACGCCAGCCCTGGAGAAGGAGCCAGGCTCTCACAGTGATGAGTCACTGTCAGAGAAGGCGCAGGGTACAGACCATGGCCCAGCTCTCGAGGCTGGCGCTGAGATGGTAAGCCTTGCATCACGGGCTACTGCTATGTCCCAGAGCCTTTCTATGACTGATTACTTTAAAAGTCTCTCCATTAACCCTGATCCAGGACACACACATCCTCCTTGACTGACAGTCCCCTGTTCCTGGTAGCCCTGAGATCTGCAGTCAACCTTCATGCCCAACACCCAGACAAGGCCGCCAAACAGACTCCAACCCGCCCTCCAGGCCCTTGTTTCTGCTATCACCTTTGCTTGGAGTAACTGTCCGTCTTCTCAAGGTATCACCTCCTCTGTGAAGCAGGAGCCTCATCAGAGCTCTCAGGGTCAGGAGAGCCTGGGTTCGCTGCTGTAATGAATAGCCCCCAAGTCCTAACAGGTTTGGACAGTCAGCTTGGGGACCCAGGCTGCCAGCAAAATCACCATTTTGTCCTTTGATTGGCTGGTGGCAGGGGAAGAGGAGAGCCAGGAGGTCAAGCTTCAGAGGAAAAAAAGGCATCCCCTGACCGCACCTCGCTTCGGCCAGAATTAGAGCCACATGGCCACCTAACTACAGGGTCACACGGGCTCCTGTGTTCATGTTCCTTCCCTATTGCTGTTGTAACAAATTAATATACAGACTTAGTGGCTTCAAATAACACACAATTATTCTCTTCCAGTTCTGGAGTTCAAAAGTCCAAAATGAGTCTCAAGGGTTTTGTCAAGGTGACAGAAGGGCCGAGTTCTTTCGAAGGTTCTGGGGGCAGCTATGAATACATGCCTCAGCCTGTGGTCCCTTCCTTCTACGTGTGAAGCCAGGAAATAACCTCTTCACTTTGACCTCCTGCCTTCCTATGAAGGACCCTTGTGTCCACACGGATAATCTCAAAATCCGTAACTCAGTCACGACCTTTTGCCACAGAGGGCAAGTTTGACAGACTGGGAGGATTAAGACGTGCCTGTCTTTAAGGGGCCATTCATTCTTCCGTCTGCCACAGAGTCCCAGAAACCCGAGCCAGGACCCAGGATTTTGTGGGAAGACCTGCCTCTGCTTTTCAGTTCTCTTCTCCCGTCATTGGCCACTTGGCCTCTCAAGCAGTGGATGAACCCTGTCAGGGCAGCCACTGGCCACAAGAATCGCTGCCCAGCAGGTGCCTGGCATGCAGCAGGGGCCTGGGAAAGTCTGCGGGGAGGGAGGGAGAGAAGAAAGTATGAACAAACTTGGCAACACCAGGAAGTGTGTGAAGACAGAAAAACGCGTGAGAGAAAGTGGGCGGATACTCAGGAATCTAGAAGCAGTCAGGGCAGGCACAGCCATCACCCATCACGGAAGGAAGGGAAGCTCCCTGCAGTGGGGGGTTCAGAGCAAAGCCCAGGCCCTGAGGACTGGTGAAGCCGGGTGAGTGGGAAGGGCTGGGAAAGAAAGTGCAGGAAGAGCAGGAGGCTGGAGGCCTCATGGGGACCAGGTGCAGGGCTGACACGGCCAGCATCGCTTTAAATTTCCACATCCACCTTGCACGCAACATAGTGTAGACCCAAGGACTGGGACTCCGGAAGGACATGGCCCTGATCCAAGTTCACACTGCTGGATGGTGGCTGGGGAGGAAAGAATTTACAGCCCTGTTTTTTGGTTCCAAAAGGAGCCGCCATCCCAGGACACTGAGCTCCTGCCAAGCCTGGTCACCCTGGCAGCGGGCTCAGCGTCCCCACCTCTTAAGGTCTCAGGTTCTTTACCTGGAGAGGGAGGGGTGGGGCTGGGTGGTCTCCAGTCCCCTTTCGGCTCCAACCTCTTCGAGGACTGGGGCAGATCTTGGAAATCAGATGGGCCTCCTGGAGGGGATAGGGGTCTGAACTTCCTCCCACTGACAACAGGCACACAGCTCCTTTTATGTTGCCAAGAGACAGTCCAGGGCCAGGAGGGAGAGGCCCATGGCAGAGATGACTCCATGCCCCAAAAATGAGAACCACAGCAGCCCACAGGATTGTGCAAGCTGCCCGAGAGGCTGCCAGTGGGCCCTGGCCCGGAGGAGGGCTGTTTACACTCTGAGTATGTGCTTGCAGTTCACTTCACCAGCCGGAAGCACAGGTCTTAGGACTGCAGGAGCAGCAGTGTGGGCACCGAAGGGGCAGGCCCTTTATCTCAGGCACCAGACACCTGTGAGTTCACTCACGCATTCATTCATTCATTCGTGTACTCCCGCCTTCCCTCATTCATCCTTTGAGGGTTTGCCAGGCATTGTGCAAGGCCCTGGGGAGACGGAGGTAAACAAGACAGTGTCCTGGTGAGTCTCCAGGGCCCAAGAACCTCGAAGAACAGTGTGCACTAATTATAGACACTGACCCTCCCAGCAGGGTCGGTGCAACAGTAAACATACGTGCCTAGAGCTCAGCGAACACGAGGCAGGGACTTTGTTATCTTCCTATGGAAAACATTTAACTACTAACTTAAAAAAAATCAAAACAAGATTATCACTCTGTACTCCTTTGTCTCTAAAAACCTTTTGCCTCATGAATGTGGGTATGTGATAATGTCACATTCAAAACTTCCTTTTAATTCCACTGGATACCTGGTATGAAAATCAACCTCAGTCGTTTTCAGAATTCCCTGTCTCCTGGGGCCATGCAAAGGCCCTGGGGTTTGGACAGCCTGCCAGGCACCAGAAAGGATGCCCAGAGATACCTGCCCCTCCTGCCCCGAGGGCATGCTCATTGGTATCCAATGGCTGCTGCTGTGTGCCAGGCTGGGGCATCAGGACCCTCAAGCCTGTCTGTGATGCCAGTTTCCCCAGACGGTGAGCTTTGGGATGTTATGCCACATCCTGGGGTGCTGCTGTGGAGGGTACCCAGGTCCCCCCACTGGGCCTTAGGGCCCCTTGCCTCTTCCGGCTCACAGCTCTCCTCCTACCCTTTACTGGGACTGTGTGCATGTTTTCTGTTTTGATCTCTTTTTTTTTTTTCCCCACAAAATACAGGAAAATATGTTGCCTTCACGTGGCAATTGGTTGGGTTCTACAAATGCCCCTGGGACTAGGGACTAGGAAAGGGTCTGGCTACAATTCTGGGACTTAGAGAGGGGGAAAAAAAAGGAAAATACAAGTTCATAGTTCAACAAATTATCTTTCATGCACAAAGTTTTCTGTCTACTTTTGTTTATCATTCCTTGAGGATATGTTTCTAAAAGTTCAGTTGAAAGACCAGCATGTTTTACAGGATAATTTCAAGTTACTTGTCTAAAAGTTTATACCAATTCCCCCTCCCACCCGCAGAGTGTGAACATTGTCCATTTTACTACACCATCACCAGCATCAAATGTTCATGTGTTTTTTTAAAACTGTTGACAATTTCAGAGATGAAAAGATTTTATTTTCAATATTTTTTGCATTTTATTGTTATTCATGCTGCTCCCTGATGTCAGAAGTATGATTTTATTTTTGATATTCCAAAAATTTCTGGGAAAGGGTGGGTGAACAGACCCTAGGGGAGTCTCAGAGTTTACTAACATCACTTCTAAAGAGTCCTTTCAGATGTCTTTCTCCACCTGGGCACCTCCCCAACCTTGTCTGCCTGGGAAATTCCAATTGGTGCTTCCAAATCCTACGCACATCTCCCGCCTCCAGGAACCTCCCACATGCTCTCCAGGGAGTGTGGCACCCTCTTCCTATGGGCTGCCCAAGAGTCCAGATCTTTCACCCCAGGGTCTTACACCAACCGCTGCCTGGCGCAACATGGTGAGGTGGGGGTGGGGGAGCAGACGTGCGTGCTGTGGGCCTCACCGAGACTTGGCTTTCTCTGCAGCAGATAGAATCATGCTGATAGCTTGGGGTTGGAGTGGGCCTGAGACAAGACAAAATCTAGAAAGTGCCCAGCAAGCACTTGGCACTTGGTGCATGCGTAGAGAATTCCGTCTATTACATTGTTATTGTTGATACTATTATTCTCCTCCCTGCTCTGGAAGACGAGGGAGTGGCTTTTATCTCTCCATCTCTGGTCGCCAGCCCAGAATGTCAAAGTAAATCAATCAAGCTGCATATTGAGTAAGCATTTCTCTGCCCTTGGCACCGGCTTCTCGGCTATAAGACTGGGACATGAGTGGCACTCTCTCTTCTGGCAGGCAACCGACTGGATGACTCGACACAGTCGCTCACTCCACACCCTCCCCTCACCCTTGCCTGCCCGGCTGGAGGCTGGAGAAGTAGAGTCAAGAGTTTGCATTCCCAGCATCCTCTGCTGGCTGAAGTGGTCACATGACCCATTTCTGGCCAATGAGACACCAGCAGGGAGCTGAGGAGACCCTCTATCTCCTGACGGAGCTCAGGCAGCCATCTTGCCACCATGAGGCAACAAGTAGGCCCATGCTAGGGAAGATGAGCCAAAAGCTGGAACGAGCCCAGTCCTCACTACCATCACCAGTGGCTGAGCAAGACCAGCAGTCACCCATTTTCAGAATCCGGATATGTTAGAAAACTAAACCTCCGAAGTACAGTATGTTGAGTTTGCTAAGTGAAGCCAAGCACATTTCTGACGCCTATGAGCTTGCTTTAAGGTGCTCATCAAATGACCTCTCTTCTCTGCCTTTCCTTGTCTCTTTCTTTCCTTGCCTACGAAAATGAAAGCCGAAGAACCCAGGAAGACACCACATGTTTGAGCCAAGGGCCTGATGCTAAGAGGACCACTGACCCGCATAACAGAATCTGAGGCTTCCCACCTTTTCTACCCCAGAGTGGGGCCAGGAGTCACATAGGCCCTGGCTGCCCAGACAAGAAAGCAAGACCTGGGGTGCAGCCAGGAGAGGGTGGAGGGAAAGACCCAGAGGCACCGGCCCTGCAGCCAGTGGGATACTCAGTGCTCAGCCCCCGGGAGGGCCTATCTGAGTCCCCGCAGGCCAGAGCTCTGCGGTCAGTGACAAGGTGGGGGGGTGGGGCACCTGCATCAGGGGCTCACCCAGACTCCCCCGCTCCTCGCAGGGGTTGGAGGGCCTGCCTTCTGTCAACTCCCAGGAACTAATGTTTATTGAGTATCTACCATGTATCAGGTTCCTCTTTTCATCTTCATGAGAGCCCTTTGTTATCTAATTTCTCATTCCCGTTTATAAAGGAGAAAACCGACCTTCAGGGAGGACTAGTAGCCTCCCAAGGACTCGCATCTAGGAAGCAGGGAGTGTGGGTTCTTTCCCAGAGATAACAACCCACAAGGGGATTACATTGCTGCAGAGAGCAAGGGGGTGTCTTCACTATGTCCCTGGCAGGCCCAAGTCAGCCCCAGCTGACAACTTTGCCTGGCGCTCCCCCGGGGACACCTTGCCTGCTCCGCAGGCACCTGGTTCCAGCCCCCACAGTCGGAGCTCTCCCTCCTTCATCCCTGGAGAAGGCAATGGCAGCCCACTCCAGCCCTCTTGCCTGGAAAATCCCATGGAAGGAGGAGCCTGGTAGGCTATAGCCCATGGGGTCGCCAAGCGTCGGACACAACTGGGCGACTTGACGTTCACGTTTCACTTTCATGCGTTGGAGAAGGAAATGGCAGCCCACTCCAGTGTTCTTGCCTGGAGAATCCCAGGGACGGGGGAGCCTGGTGGGCTGCAGTCTGTGGGTTTGCACAGAGTCGGACACGACTGAAGCGACTTTCACAAATCACTACCCCTGAAGGAGAGCTCAGGCCTAGTAGACCGCTGTCTTCACCCCTGCCTGGAGGATGAGGAAACTGAGTCTCAGCAGCCAGGGCAGCAGCCGGCCCTGCCTGGGCGCGGCCGGCAGAAGCGCGGGAAGGCGAGGCTGGAGTGGTTTCCAGGTGAAGGTCAGGCCTCCAGAAACACGTGGTCTCTGCCCCGCTCTCCTCCCCCACGCTTGGCCCTGCAAATTGGCTTTGACCTTCCCTGCCCAGCCTTTGAGCTTCTCCCCATTCAACCCGAAACCACAAAGGGAGGAGGAGGGGCCGGGAGCGGGCAGGCCCCTCCCAGCGGGCAGCCCGCCCCTGCGGCCCGGGCCTCAGGTCTGTTTGCACAGTTGGGGCACAAGCTGGTCACCCCACCTCGGGCAGAAAGGCACCGCGAGGTCATCCGTTTACTCTGGGCTTAGCGGCTCCCAGCGGGAGCTCTTTCCCTCCAAGATGAAAAGAAAGCAGACGCTCTGTCAGGTAAACAGGCGACATTGTTCCCAAAGATGGCAGGGCCCCTTTGTTGGACCAGCCTGTGAGGTCAGCGGGTCCCTAACACAGGGAGACAGCCTCCTGAAGTGGAGGCTGTGGTTGGAGGGCAGTGGGCCTCACTGTGTAATACATGTGTGACTGAAGCACTGTGCTATTCACCGGAAACTAACACAACAGTGTAAACCAACTATCCTAAAATTAAAAAAAAAAGATTACTTTCCGTACTGCAAAAAATAAAAGAAAATACTTTTTTTTAAGTGTGGGTGGAGGCTCAGCAGATCCCTGGCTCCCCTGAACCCTCCTTGCATTCAGAGCCCTTGCCTCTGTTGATGCAAACAGCAAGCAGACGTGGAGTTAGGTCTTACAGACACACGGCACGGAAGAGGGACCCAGGAGCTGGTGGCTGGAAGGAAACTGGTCTAACCGCTCCCTCTTCAGATGGGGAATGAGAAGATGAGAGAGCTACTGGAGCATGACCTTAGCTGCTTCTCTTGTGCCTCTGGCCCATACAGGGGAGCGCTTGGGTGCCATAACCATCCCCAGCAACAAACTGTTCCGTTTCATGGATCCTTAGAATATTTACACGGCTGAACAGACAGCACTGGTCATGGCTACACCTGGTCCTTCCCACATTTACGTGACGAGGCATCACTCTTGGAAGACAACGGTGTGGAGGCCTCACCCACAAGCATGTGTGGGAGCCAGGACACCCTAGTTTCAGCCGCCCTCCCTCGGCCACAGTTTTCTTGTCCATCAAAGAAGACATAAGATTCTCACTAGTTACCGATTTTATACAAGTGCGTGTGTGTGTCTGTGTGTGTGTGTGAGACTTAGTCATGTCCCGCTCTTTGTGGCCCCATGGACTGTAGCCCATTAGGCTCCTCTGTCCATGGAATTTTCCATGCAGGACTACTGGAGTACGTTGCCATTTCCTACTCCAGGGGGTCTTCCTGACCCAGGGATTGAACCCTGAGTCTCTTGCATCCCCTGCATTAGCAGGCGGATTCTTTATCACTGCGCCACCTGGGAAGCCCCATTTTTTTACAGAATAGTGTGTATATGTCAATCCCAATCTTTCAATTTATCCCACCCACTCCTTTCTCCCTTTGGTATCTATACATTTGTTTTCTAGGTCTGTCTCTATTTCTGCTTTGCAAATATGTTCCTCCGTACTATTTTTTTCTAGATTCCATCATATGTGTTAATATATGAGAACCTACTGCATAGCAGCGAATAAAAAGGTACAATCTGTAGGACATATATTAAATTAACCTTAAAAGTGCATTCCAATATACATTAAGTACAGACAAATGGGCTTCCCTGGTGGCTCAGATGGTAAAGAATCTGCCTACAATGCAGGAGACCTGGGTTCGATCCCTGGGTCAGGAAGACCCCCCGGAAAAGGGAATGGTTACCCACTCCAGTACTCTTGCCTGGAGAATTCCATGGACAGAGGAGCCTGGCAGACTCCAGTCCATGGGGTCTCAAGGAGCTGGGCACAGCTGAGGAACTGACACTTTCACTTTCACAGACAAATACTGTTTGATTCCACTTGTATGAGGTACCTAGAATAGTCGAATTTGTAGAGTCAGGAAGTACACTGGTGGATGCCAGAGGCTGGGGATTGAGGAGTTAGTGTTTAACGGAGACAGAGTTTCAGTTTAGGAAGCTGAAAAATTCGGGAGATGGGTGATGGTGAGAGTTGCACAACCATGTCCTTGTTGCCACTGAAAGGTACAGCTGAGTATGAGTTAAAATAGTGTATTTTGTGTTATGTGACTTTTACCACAATTTAAAAAAACATTAAAAAAAGACTATGTAAGATGCTCTCCACCGCCCTTTGCCTTCTGACAGCAGGGAAGTCTGAGGAGGGCGTGGGCCGCCCTGTGGGAGGCCTTCTGAGGAAAGAGGGAGCTGCTTGAAGCCCAGGCCCACCCTTGACGCCCGAGGGGCCTGTGAAGTCGTGGGAGTGGGCACCCTGACCAGGCGACGTCCAGCCCTGGGAACAGAGCTCTGTGGTGAGACCGGGGTGGGGGTCACGCTGACCCTCTCAGGCTCCCGGCCCATCACTCACCAGGTGCATGACCTCAGAAGGGTGACTCAGCCTCCTGCTCTGGGAGGTGACACCACCTGGCCTCCCCCACCTTCTGCTCCAGGCCGAGGGGGTCCTGGGTGGCAGCAACTGGGCTGCCCTCAAGGAGCCTGCTGCCACCGTGAGGTCCTGTCCCCTCCCGGCCTCCTTCTCCCGGGTGCCCTTGACCCTCACCCTCACCCCTCCCCCCAAGGAGGGGACTCCTTGCCACCCAGATGCCAGGTTGCTGGGCAGCCTGCAGGAGACAGAGTGAAAGTATAGACAAATGTAATTCATCTCCTAAAGCTCAGGAGGACCTGACGGAAGGCGGGTGGAACAGGTGAAGAGCCCAGGTCTGACAGGGCTGCCTCCCAGGTGACCCCCCAGATGAGCCCCAGCACCACGTGGGCATCAACCTGGCCCTTGACGGCAGCAGTGGGTGAGACATGCCTCCAACCCTACTCCCAGCCAGGCCCTGGATCTCAAACCACTCAGAGCTTGATGTTCATGAACCTGGGACTCACCAGCCAGAAGCAATCAGAGACCAAAGTTCTCTAACTACACTCTTCTAGAGTCCAGAACTAGTGACCGGGAGAGAGTGGGTGGCTTCCCAGGACAGGGTGAGGGCAAGCCCCCTGCAGCCCAACCTCCCAGATCTCCAGCTGAGCTGTGTAAGAGCTGTGTGGCCCTGTGCAAGTCACTCGTCTTCTCTGAGGCTCATCTCACCATATAGAAAGTGGAAATGAGAGGACGTCTACTGTGTAGGTTTTGGTAAAGATTAAATACTGTCCAGCAAACAAAATAGCTCTGTAAAAAATTGTAGGGTCTGAATAACCCTACTGGTTTATTTCTTTTAATTTTTTTTATCAGAGTACAGTTTATTTACAATGTTGTGTTAATTTCTGCTATATAGCAAAATGATTCAGTTATACATATATATATATATATATATATATATATACACACACACACACACATATATATTCTCTTTCATATTCTTTTCCATTATGGTTTATCACAGGGTATTGAATATGGTTCCCTGTGCTCTATAGCAGGACCTTGTTGTTCATCTATCCTGTATATAATAGTTTGCATTGGCTAATCCCAAACTCCATCCCTACCCCACCCCCCTTCCCCCACTCCCGGGAACCATGTCCGTTCTCTTTATATCCACTTTTCTTGCTCTTTCCCTTGCCCCAGACTTCCAACTGGAGGTACCGGTATTGTTGTTCAGTTGGATCCGACTCTTTGTGACCCCATGGACTGCAGCACACCAGGCTTCCCTGTCCCTCACCTTCTCCCAGAGTTTGCCCAAACAGTAACCATTCATTGAGAATTTCCTCTGTGCTGGAAGGTGTTTATCCCCACTTTAGAGAGGAAGCGCAGAGGGATTATAGAACCAGCAGCAGGTCCTCAGCTGGGAGGTAGTAGGGTCAGGATTTGAACCCAGGTCAGGATGAGGTGGGCAGCCTCCTGGTGATATTCTCCTTGATACTTGCTTCCCATCTCCACCCGTGACCTCTGCCTTCCTGGGGGCACTGGTAATGAAGAAAGACATCCAGCTTGGGCCTTCAAGGACCATCCTGGTTGTACAAAAACGGATGGAGGACAAGGCAGCCCCTCTAGACGTGGGACTGGGCATAACCAGGCTGGGTGGGGGGCCTGGGCTTCCTCAAGCAAAAGACCCACCATCTCTTCTCCCCTTCTCAGCCCTGGGAGCAGAGTCAAGACCACCTCCCAAGGATCCCAGTTTTTAGGGCATCCTAGCATCTGGGGAAAGCCTCAGAGAAGCAGGCACCAAAGGGAAAGTTCCCAGCTGTGGTCAAAACACCAGTGGCCTCAAGACATACCACAAAATCCACTCATCCCTCACTCTCTTTTTTTCTCTTTCTAAGGTTGCCCCAGCTACTAATTTTTTTCCAGCTATTAATTTTTAATTGGATTCAACTGAAGAAGTGTGGACCTGTCCACAACTCCTCCTGGACCATCTGGGCATATTGGTGTCACCTGCTTCTAAGGCAACATTCCATCAGCCCAATATTCCTGGCTTCTAGAAAGAGCTCCAGCTTGTTTTCTTACAGCTTCTACCTGTCAACCAGGTTCTGGCCACCAAGAGCAGAGCGACCCCCATGCACGGGGCGAGTGGGAGGGCAGGATCCAGTCAGATCAAGTGGGGCTGTGTGCCAACTGCTCCACTAATCAGCTGGGTGACACTAGACTTGGGATTTGGGCTCTTGAGGCCTCAGTTCCCCAATCTGTAAAATGGGGACAGTAAGTCACTGTGGGGGGTTCCTGTAGGATCAGGTGAGATGATACAAGGAAAGCTGTGAGCTCAGTGCCCAGAACTGCAGTGATGATTATCTGTTATTCCTGCATCTGTCTGCTGTGCCTTGAAAGTAGCCAAGGGCTCCAATCATGCACCCTCAGCTTGCTCCTGGCTTTACCGTCTTCCAGCTAAACACACCCTGCCCTTCCTTCAGTGGTCACTCTGTCACTGAGTCTCAGGCTCTTGACTCTCTGGCCGGCCTTCCCTCAAGTCTCCAAATGAGAAAACTTGGGAGGAAAAGGGATAGGCCCCTTTTGATTTTTTTGCCCATACCACACAGCATACAGGATCTCTGTTCTCCAACCCAGGATGAAACCCTCACCCCCTGCAGTGGAAGTGTGGAGTCTTAACCACTGGACCACCAGGGAATTCCTCCCTTTTGATTTTTAAGAACAGATCTATACATATGGAAGGAGCTCAAAGACAGCAAAGGATAAAACCAGAACCTGGATAAAGCCAAGGCTTCCTGGACCCAAGGAAGGGAAGCAGAGTCCAGCTCAGAAGAAGAAACTATTGTCCTTTCTGAGGATTCGAGCTCTTCAAAGGTGGGAAGAGCTGTCCCTGGAGGGAGTGAACCCCCATCTTTGGAAGTATTCAAGGTGGGATGACACCGCCAGGGACATGGTGTCTGAAGGGACTCCTGCGCTGAGGGGGAGTTTGATCTAAATGATGTCAAACATCACAATAAAGAAACAAGGAATTCCTTCTTTATTCACTTGACCAATATTTATTGTTGAATGCCTAGCAGTGACTAGCTCTGTGCCAGTTCCTCTCCTGGGTGTACAGTTTACACTAAGAGAAGAATCTGAACTCAGGAAGCATTTCAAAAACAGGGCTCTTTTGGAACAGTGTGGAGATTCCTTAAAAAACTGGAAATAGAACTGCCATATGACCCAGCAATGCCACTGCTGGGCATATACACCGAGGAAACCAGAAGTGAAAGAGACACGTGTACCCCAGTGTTCATCACAGCACTGTTTATAATAGCCAGGACATGGAAGCAACCTAGATGCCCATCAGCAGACGAATGGATTAGAAAGCTGTGGTACATATACACCATGGAATATTACTCAGCTATTAAAAATAATGCATTTGAATCAGTTCTAATGAGGTGGATGAAACTGGAGCCTATTATACAGAGTGAAGTAAGTCAGAAAGAAAAACACCAATACAGTATATTAACGCATATATATGGAATTTAGAAAGATGGTAATGATGACCCTATATGCAAGACAGCAAAAGAGACACAGATGTAAAGAACAGACTTTTGGACTCTGTGGGAGAAGACGAGGGTGGGAAGATTTGAGAGAATAGCATTGAAACATGTATATTATCATATGTGAAACAGATCGCCGGTCCAGGTTGGATGCATGAGACAGGGTGCTCAGGGCTGGTGCACTGGGATGACCCTGAGGGGTGGGGTGGGGAGGGAGGTGGGAGGGGGGTTCAGGATGGGGAACACGTGTACAGCCATGGCTGATTCATGTCAATGTATGGCAAAACCACTACAATAATATAAAGTAATTAGCCTCCAATTAAAATAAGTAAATTAATTTTTTTTAAAAAAGAAAAAGAATGATAAAACAATAATAGTAACAACAATGGAATCGGAGTAAAATTGGTAAACAGGAATTCTTTGTACTATTCTTGGAGTTTTTCCGTAAGTTTGAAATTAAAAGATTAAAAAGTTACAAAAAGAAAAACAAAAACAGGGCTCCTTTGAATTTGTTTTTTGCCTCTGTTTTTGCATCTGTACAACGAATAGATAAAAACAGTGCCTGCCCCACAGGCCAGCAGACAGACCCCCGATCAGCCTGGCACATGGTGGGCCTCGGGAAAAGGTGGCTGTCCTGAAGCTGGGTTGTCACTGCCTTGAGGGTTATGATGATGACTATTCCTGAGATCCAGAGAAGGTTTTTCTTTCTCTCTTTCTTTCTTTTTTTTTTTTTTTTGGTGTAAGATTCAAACAGTTGGGTATGTATTAAGTCAAGTCCCAAGAATCCAGTCCAGCAAAAATCCTCACCCAGGGCAGCCAGGACCAGCTAGGACTGGAACCGGAGACCAACAGCACACTGGGTCTTGGACCACGTCCAAAGCCAGCCAGTCGTCAGACACGGGAGGCTTCCTGAAGGTACATATCTGCCATCATTTCCCAAGAATGGTATTCAATGGCCGAACAGGGTCTCTGGAGCAGCTTAATTGCTTTGTAGAAGAAACAGTGGTTCTAACCCTGAACCCAGATAGGCCTTTTGAGGCTAGGAGAGAGAAACCTGTATGCTTCTCAGAAAATCTCAAGTCAGCTGCCTTCTTGCTCCTCCTCCTCTTGGCTTTTAAAGTCGGGGGAGCCTACCTGTTACCCAGAGAGGTGGGACACAGGTTATGGCCATGGGGACTGCACTCAGTCCTCGGAGGTGGACAATGGTCCAAACCGAGGATGCTCCGTGAAGCTTTGGGTCCCTAGACAAACCCACATCTGGGATGTCTCCTATGCAGAAAATCTTGGGCTGAAGAAAAGTCAGGCCACCTGACTCCTGGTCCTCCTGCCGTGCCACTCACCAGCTGTGTGACCTTGGGCAGATGAATTAACTTCTCTGAACCTCCATTTTCTCCTCGGTGAATTGGCACTAAGTCTTATCTTTGAAGAATTGGGAGGATTCAATGAGACTGTCCTCTGTAAAGGGCCAGAATACAGAAGACCCTCCTCAGAGCTCTGAGAAGGACTGGATCTGGGGCAGTGTGATGTTTTACGCCTGCTAAGCCCACAATCTTTTGATAAATGTGGAGCTTCCCAGGGGACGCTAGTGGTAAAGAACCTGCCTGCTGATGCAGAATATGCAAGAGATGCCAGTTCAATCCCTGGGTCAGGAAGATCCCCTGGAGGAGGGCACGGCAACCCACTCCAATATTCTTTCCTGGAGAATCCCATGGACAGAGGAGCCCGGGGGCTC